CGTGCGAACACAAGAGAAGTAGTGGAGGATTCCCTTGGAGGAAAAATATTCGGAGAAGCGTAACTCGGGCGCATTATCGGAACGGACTGCCTTGATAGCTTTGCCGAACTGTGTTTCAATGAAAGTCACAAATTCTGGGATAAGCCGAAGCACGTCTCGTTTAGATTTCATCATATAGATCCAAGTTGCACGGGAATGATCATCCACTATGGTCAAAAAATAGCTAAAACCGTCATGAGAAATGGAAGAGAAAGGTCCCCACACATCAATATGAATAAGATCAAAAGCAAAAGGAGAAAGATGATTATGAGATATAAAGGGTAACCGACGCTGTTTAGCCAAATGGCAAATCCGACAATGAGAAACATCTGAGAAATGCTTAAGAGATAAACGAGAAGACAGAGTCTTAATTTTCTGAAAAGACGGGTGTCCAAGTCTACAATGCCAAAGTGTGGAATCAGCATGAAGGGCCTGAACTGGAAAAGAGGAAGTGTGGGAGGACGAAGATGATGGGCTGGACTCGAGAAAGTAAAGGCGCTGCTGGAGGCTAGCCTTCCCAATCGTCGAGCCCTGAATAGGCTCCTGAATGAGACAACAAGTGGAAGAAAAAGAGACGCGAAGATTAGTGTGCTGGAGCAAAGCACTAATACTGAGGATGTTAAAAGAGAAACAGGGTATATAAAAGACATCGGTTAATAATAGATGATCATTCAGAGAAACAGTTCCTATATGATGAACCAGAAGACGAGTCCCATTCGGCAGAGTCACAGATCGTTGACTGATTGGTTGAAGGGTGCGGAACAGTCGTTTGTCAAAGCAAACATGAGCAGAAGCACCTGAATCAACAATCCACGAAGCAGAGCGGAAAACAGAGCCAGAGACCGAAGAGCAAATGAAGGGAGAGACCAGAGGTATACCAGAGGAACCTGTAGCATCTGGGGCACCACCATCAGTAATCGAAGGACCATATGTTTGGAGCTGAGAACTGAGCTTGGAGCAAAGTTCCTGTAGCTGAGCAATAGAAAATTTGTCGAGTTCTGGAACAACAGGGGGAGAACCAGAACCATTTTCCTTGATCAGATTTGCAACGTGACCCGAGGAAAGCGCAGAAGCCCGAGGAAAAGGCTTGGGTTGAGAGTAGGATTTAGCAGGGCCAGAGGTTTTATACCCAGGGGGATAACCATGAAGTTTGAAGCACTTCTGAATGGTATGCCCATACAAACCGCAATGGGTACACAAGGGCCTCTGCTTAGATTTGAACGAGGTACCAGCAACGACAGCAAGCTTCGCATCGGAAGGTTGGGCAGAAGACTGAAAAACAACAGCATCAACAGAAACAGGGGAGGATTTTACCAGACGTTGTTGTTCCTGTTGAATGACGAGATTATAGGCTCGTTGAATATCGGGCATCGGATCCATCATCGTGATTTGACTCCTCACGCCTTCAAACTCATCATTCAGCCCATAGAGGAAATCGATAACAAAATCACTAGCAAACTCATCAGCCCATCGTTTATCAACGTGACAGGTGCACTTACCACAAGTACAGCGATGAGAAACCCGTACAGCCTTCATCTCTTCCCAAATAGTAGAGATTGCCGTGTAATATTTAGCAACATCGAGAGTACCTTGACGAAGGCTGCGAAGCTTCTGCTTGACCCGATACTTGCGAGGAGCATTGGTTTGCTGGAAACGGTGAGCAAGGTCGAGCCACATCTCACGAGCAGTTGGAATGTACATCAGGTTCTGGGAAATATCTTCATCGACAGAGTTCATGAGCCAGGATCCAACGATCGCATTATTGCGATTCCAGAACCGAAGAGTAGGATCGTCATCGGCCGGACGAGGCATCGACCATCAACAAAACAGAGTTTGTTGCGACCCTCAAGAGCCATAGAGACCGCACGTTGCCAGGAACTATAATCACCAGCTCCAGTCAAGCGTTTGGTAACAATCTGGAGGCCACCATGATCACCCGAACTCAGAAAATACGGATTGTCAAAGCAATCGAAGGAAGAAGCCGGAGTGACAATGGATGGAGAAGACACCGGAGAAGGAGGATCTTCAACCGGGAAAGTGGTGGAAGAAGGAGACGCCATAATCTCGGAAGAAAATCGAGAAAATGGGAGAAGAACAAACGATCAAATCGGATGATGAAGACGAGAAAAAAAAAAATTGGGATCTTAAGCGCAAAGGCCTGATACCATTTCACAGAAAAGAATGTCGCAGTATTTTGCAACAGAAAGGAGAGAGAGAGGTTTCTGAATTTTCTGTGTATTGAGTGAAGAATGCCTCGTGTACATTTATACAGAAAGAATGAGAAAAATAGAAAAAAGGAAAAAGGAATGAATAACCGTGTAACAAACTTGTAACAAACAAAAATAATTATTCCTATACCAGCTCGATCAAAACCGTAGCTGTAATATATTTCAAAATTCAAATTCTTGCCATATCTAAATTCATTTTTTTTATACTTTTAAGATACAAATCTTATAATAAAAAAATGGATGAGGTAATATACCAAAACTAAGATATCATACACAAGATGAAATTGCAAAGTAAAATGAGTTATGGGTCGCAAGATCATATATAATAACTTCGTTTAAAAGAATAAAAATATTATGCTCGAAGACAATAACAAATAATTTAAAATATAATTGCTTCAAAATATCATGAATTTATGATAGTATATTCTTTCGGAGGTAATGAATTTGTGAAACAAGATAATTTTGGATGATTTATAAAAAAAATATTATTATTTATTTCTTAAAAATAAGTATTTTAAAATATTTTGTTAAAAAAAAAGTATTTAAAAATCTAATTAATCGAAACCTATTTAATGATTAGTAATTCTAAAAAAAATTCTCAAACACAAGGGATCTGATTTTTGGACATAAGCCCAGAAAATTGGAAGCCCAATAGGTAGCTCAACCTCTATGTTTGTGGCCCAAATGCTATAATATGAGGCCCATTATTAAAGTTGCCGTACCATTTTATGGAAATTTCACGTCTTTATTTTATTCTATTTTATTTGCAAGTTGGTCAAGTTACCATTTTACATAAAACAATAAACAAAAATTTTAAGTGGATCATAATGGGTATATTTAAATTTATCGTTTTCTTAAATTATATTTATAAATTCAAGTTGAAATATAAGAATTTTAAGTTAAATTTTTTTTTATAACGGAGGATCCCTGCTACCCTTCGAACGGGCTGACTAGGTAAACCTCCGGCTCAGGAGTAACCTTTGTATATGAATCATATAAACCCAGAAATTACCTCCCTCCCCACCAGCCAGGAATCAAACACTCAACCTCAAGGTGAAGTTATCTCCTACCCAAAGCTTGATCACTCGTCCATGATCTGTTGAGTAATTTTAAGTTAAATTAATAAATAGAACCAAAATTTTAATGTAAGAATTGAATAAACATATAAACATAAATAAATATATTTTTAATATTTGGAAGAAAAAAATAACACCTAGATAATCTAAATTTACATTCAAAATAAAAAAATCAAAATCATATTATCTCGGCGAAAGTTATTGTGAATTTACATAATATATTCTTTAGTTATTCAAAATTGGATGCCTAACCGATAAAAAATAAAACAATATTCTTTTCTGATTCGGATTTTAGTCTAGTTTAGAGAGAGATATTCACATAAACTTTTTCGGTATTCTAAAAAATATAATCAAAATAAATGTTCATAAAGATTATCAAAATATCTATATATATTCTTTAATTCTGTCTCGTTTTTAATTAACATTTGTAATGAACATTATAAAAAATTATTAAATTTAAATCTACTATTTTCTTTTTTGAGAGCCAAATGGACCGATCAAGAACCGTTACATACAGTGTATATATATCACTGTTTGACACTTGAAAGATTGGCGTTTTCTACAAATCCCAATGCAGTTATGGATAAGTTCGAGCCATCCTATTATTATTTTCTTTTTTCCCAGTTGTTATTATTATAATTTTTATTAATTAATTACTTGCTTACATTAGATTAGAATCTCAGATTTTTTTTATTTATTTATTATGAAACTCAAATTTTACGAACTGCTGCATTCAATTTCACGAACTACTGTATTATAATTCTCAAATATTGGAATAAATTTCGCTGATATTGATTAAAAAATCACTTTAAGAATTATAATAATATATTTTACAAGTTTAGTAATTATAAAGTCATATTTATAAATTTAAAAATTATAATGATATATTTTGTCAATTTAAAAATAAATTTGTTAACCGAAAAGTTCAAAAGTTATTTTGCACCATTTTACAAATTTATAAATTATTATGGGTTTTTACCCAGATATTTTCTAGTATATGTGAGTGACCCGTCTCACAAAATTTGGAGGTCTCATACATATTATAATTTTAAAATAATAAAAAATTATTAATTAATATAATAAAAAATAATAATATTTGAAAATGATAAAAATATATTTAATATAACAAAATATATAAATTAACTAAGTTAAAATTAAGTTAGGTCTCTAAATTTTGGTGATAATTTATTTAATTAAAAATAGATAACGAGAGTTGTTACTTTTTTGTTATAACTATATTTAATAATATATATTATTAACATTTTTAAAATTAGGTGGAATTTACACATAAAAAAAAAGTGGGACCCCTAAATTTTGGGGTTTTGTTCCATTGCACCTATTGCACACGTTAATAGACGGCCCTATATATATATATATACGTATTATCAGAAAAACGTTGAAATAGAAACATTATCTTGTCTACATATGACTGGACACATTAACAAAGCTCATAATGTTGAATCACCAAAAAAAAATGTAGGATATTTTTCTTTATTATTTAAGTGATAAATATTAATGGAAAACAACCCCGAAAAAAAATGGAAAAGGAATAGTAAAAGGAAAATGATTAACGCACGCACACTACCTTGCATTACAAATTAATTAATATGGACCGACAAAAATAAAAATGATCTCAATACATACATCTAACGATAAAAATCCAGAATTCCCCATTTTTATTAATCTAACTACTTTGCACTTCATGATATATAGCTAAATATAACGAAAAAATAAATTATATAAAGACAAATTCTCAAAGAAAAAAAAAAAGAAATGTATATAATTCATTTTTTAATCCTTAAGTAATTAATGAGGTTTATAGGAGAGGAATCCGCCGCGAGAAAGATACTGTATATATACGTCGCGCGTACGACGTTTCCACATGATGTGGAAAAGCCTTATCCAATCAGATTCCGCCACGTGTCAATAGGTCTCATCCAATCAGATTTTGCCACGTGTTAATAGATCTCCAAGGGCCTCCGGAAAACGGCCGAGCATTCCGGTAACTCGCCGAGATCGGCGAACAGAGACTCGTCCTCTTCTCTCATCGGAAAAAACATCGCCACGTCAGCATTTTCCGGCGGCGGAACGGTCTTCTTGTCCGACGAGAATATGGGGCTCTCGAGGATTGTGGACGACGTCGTTTCCATCTCACCGAACCACGCGAACTCGTCCACGCACGACGGCGTCGTGCCGATCTCCCCGAGATCCATGAACTTGCTTTGCTCCGGTTCAAGTTCCAGTTCCGGTACAATTTCCGGTTCCGGTTCCGGTTCCGGTTTAGGACGGTGTTTGATAGGGCCGGTTTTAGAAGCGGGCCAAGGGTGGTTGTGTTCACACGTGTAAGTGACGAGGATCATGGTTGGATCGTCTCGGTTTCTCTCCACTTGTTTCCTCGCCGGACATCCCTTCGAACTACTACACCTATAATACCCTCTGTCCGAAAATACATATATACTTCAATTATATATATATATATATATGCTGTATACATATATGTACGTATATGTGTGTATGTATGTAAGTACCTGGGGTAGGGAGAACCCTTGATGGGTTTTTGTCCGTACTTTCTCCAAGCCCATGAATCCGACGGCGGAGCTGTCTCGCCTTTCATCCTCGATCCTTCCACGTCTTTGATCGGTACGGTCACCAGTCTCTTCTGTACGGATCTTCTGCTGTGATGCGACAGAGACAAAACACTCTTACGTTTGAACAATATTCATCTTTCATGAACTCAAAGGTACAACCTTTATGAACATATGAATGGATCGTAATATGAAATCGAGCCGATGTTATATATATATATACACACACATATACATATGCGTATACATACCTTCGCTTAGGTGAAGGAGAAGAGATGAGTTTCATGTCGTTGAAGATGGAAGAAGTAGGGGAACCGGGTCCGGTTTCTTGGCTGCTTTCGCTGAAGCTTGATCTCTCCATCTCCAAAGCCCGTTTCATATATGCTGAATTATATATATATATATATATATATATATGTATGTATATATATACCTCTATATATCTTCGACCAAAACAAGAACAAGTGAAGGATTGGATCCTTTGTTAATAAGTATTGTGATCTCAACCTTCTTAGGAAGATATATTTGCAGAAGAGAGAGAGAGAGAGAGAGAGAGAGAGAGAGATGGAGAGAAGGTGGAGAAGACGAGGGCTGTGTTTGGAAGAGGACGTGCAAGCATATGTTAATTTAATCTCTAATTATTTTCTTGTAATATATATTAGAAATGAATATAATATATTGGGACGATGCTTAGTTTATATCATATCATTTCGAGAGCGACGCCATAATTTGTTTTTTAATTTAAAAAATAAGCCGGATTGTTACATTCGATCACACACCCTTTTATTCAAATTACTATATATATATATACTTATATATATATATATATAATAGATGGGTTAGGTAAAATATACAAAATCTTGTATTCTTTTGTCCTATTCACCAATGTCTAAGCCCTTTATAATTATTTAAAATGATTGGAATATGATTAGGGTTGCAGGAACATATGATATGATATAGACTAGCATATTTTTCATGCACACTGAAAAATACATCAAATTTAAATATATAGTTCTAACTGTATCGGAAAAAAATAATCTAAAAGTGAATTTCTATAATACATAAACATACATATACATATATATATATATATATATATATAATTATTTATATATATATAATCCCAAGCACCGTGAGTAAGTTGCACTATAAAGTCGGAGCCGAAACCGTGTGCCAATGTTCAAGTTTTCATATGACCTTTTCCCACACCAAAAGCAAACGGCTTTATTTTATTTTAATTTTTTATGATTTTGGGGGAAACAAAAGCACAGTTATCATCCTGTTGCTGATAATCACAAGTATCTTATTACTAATCAAAGAGATAATGTAATTTATCATATTATTATTATTATTATTATTATTATTATTATTATTATTATTATTATTATTATTATAATATTGGCTTGTATTATTATTATTATTATTATTATTATAATATTGGCGCTTTTTATTCATGAGAGAAGAAGGGATTATGAATTTTTAATCTTTTGGATTTTATACATGTGACATCCCAGATATCGATGAAGATCGATGAAGGTAGAGAGTGGTCGCCGATGGAAAAGAGCAAGGATAAGGAGCAGAACATCTGGCAGACTTCCAAATAGAAGGGATACGAGAACGAATCGAACGCAACGGAACAAGAATGATTTAAAGACTGTGTATATATGAGATTAATTATATAGTTAACGACAATTTAAAAGAATTGATTGAGCTATTTATACCAACAAAATGTTTATGATCTTTTCGGTTGTCTATCACGAGAGAACACCAAAATTTAACGTGTTTGTTTTGGAGTAATCTTAGCACGAGTGATCTCCTAAAAAAATACTTTTCGAGATGTGTGTGCGAGTGATGACAAAATACTATAAAATATCTCGTAACGGTTTTGGAGCATTACAATATATTTTTGGATTTTGGGGTGTTTTATAAATTTTTTTGTCAAATAATTCTAATTTTCGATTATTCCGTTGTTAACTGGTAAAATTTTCTTTTTACCTACAGTGAAATTCATCTCTTCGTCCGTAAATTTCACTCTAATTTTATATTTTGCGTGTGTGTTTCGTTAAATTTCCAACAAACGGTCATGTAGAAATTAAAATAATACTATTTAACGAAATCGGGTGTGAACAGAATCACGTAGGATGCCACCTAATCTAGAACTAGAAGTGAGAACTATGTGATGTGGTACAGGTTTCATATGTATCAAGAACATATATATATATATATATATAGAGAGAGAGAGAGAGAGAGAGAGATCTAGCCATGGTATTGATAATATTTCGAAAAAATAGAGAATATTAATTTGATTTCATATAAAAATAATAGTAATTTTTACTATTTATATATATAATTTCAAATAATTTCTATAATTAAGATTAATCTTGGTGATAATAATAGATCACATGATCCAATGCTATATATATGTTTAATTTTTGTGTTAAAACTTCATCTGTTAAAATCGTACAATTAGAAGTTTTAATTTGTAAAAATTCATATATATGTTTATTTTTTAAAAAGATTTTTTTTTCCAAGTTGAGATATACAGTACAATTAGAAGTTTTTCTAAGTACATTGGTGACATTTTCTTATGTGTACATCAATCAAGCATATCCACTTGTGATTATATTAATTGCTCTAATTATATTTATGCAACTATTTTTTTATTGAAGAGAAAGGAATCTTAACTTGTTCAGTCCATGGAATTAATTCATTTCGACACCTAATTTTTAATTTTATATATATATATATATATATATATATATATATAGGCGGAGTTTTTGGAAGTAATGTGGTCAAGTTGGATTTAGATGGAGAACTAGTTATATATATATATATATATATATATATATATAATTACGACTGTTTGTTACATTATTAAAACCAGCTAACAAATATGCGTTTAGACAAAAAAAACGCGTAGAAACAATATTTTGAATAATTATACAACCAAAAAATAAAATTATTTTGGAATGCTAACAATTAATTCATACCTCTTATCGATAAAAATTTAATTAATATGTGTTTATTGAAAACCTATAAATTTTAATTTGAAAATAATTATACCCAAAAATTACCCACCTATATTTTTAAAATAAGCAATGTGGCTATTTTAAATTGAATTTATTAAGGAATATATTAAAATCATAAACAATAGAAACTATATAGATTGAATTTTAATATGAATTTACGTGTTGACTTGGTAATTTATTGCATTTCATGTCAATGTTCAATATAAACCAATTAATTTATTATTATTTTTAAGTTAGACTATATCTTATAATGATGCGTGAAGCAATGTGGCTATTATAAATTAATCGGACAGTATTATTTGTAGCTACGACTTGGCCAGCTGCTTTATTTAAATATATAAATATTTTATTTTTTCATTAATATCATGGAATTTTGTAATTATAAAAAAAAAAATCATACCGATAATAATTTTGCATCTCTGACTTTCCCTAAAATTGCGGCTAAATTCTTGCACATCGCTCGTGTTTAATTTATTTCATATTCTCCAATTTTTTTTAGTTGAATAAGCAAAAAACAACATTATCCTTCTAGGATTTAATTTCGCTTAACAAACAAATATATTGTGTTATTAAATCTTTAATGTTAAATATTTTATCTTATATATAGTTAATCTGCAATATTAATATTATATATTATATATTCAGATATACAATTTTTGTAAGAAAAAAACATATCTAATTTTGGAATAAATGCTTTAATACATGGATTTACTGTCATTTTATCTATTGATGTATGAAATCAGGGTAACTTTAATTATTTTTTTAAAAAAATAAATAATTATAATTATTTTAGTGCATTAATTAATAATATTCATACCGGAAACAAGTGAACAGTTTCCAACATCTTTCTCCTCCCAAAGTAAATCACTTTCCGGTATTCTTTTTCATGACGGAAACAAAAGCCTTTTAAAATCCGATTCGTAAGGAAAAGGAAATTCATCACGTGCTCAAAACAATTATGGAAATTAATAATATAAAATACATTTACAAATAAAAATCACACCACTAACAATTCACGCAATGGAGAGATGGTGTCATATATATATATATATGTATATATATATTATAATATTTTTATAGGATTTAATCCCTTTGATCATCATTCCTAATTTAATTTTGATAGTATGGAACTAATTAAATTATTTAGAAAAACTAGTAATTATATATTTTGACTTGAAAAAATAATATTTTATTTTAGATGTCGTTTAAAACTTAAATACATAAATTAAAAAAATAGTGATATGTCCAAAATACCCTTATTTATTAAATAAAAAATTATTATTTCTAAATATATAGAACATTTAAATATTATTAATTAGAGATAAATTTGGAAAAAATATTAAAAATTACATAGAAAATCTCAAAACGTCACTTATTTTGAAATAAAAATATTATTGTAAAACGTTATCTAATGTGAAATAGAGTGAGTATCATTTTGGATGTTACTGAAATATATATAAACTTTTAGTCTAATCATCTAATTCTGAAAAAATAATGATATACTTCTATTTTTATGGAGATGTTTTGAACAAGTAATTTTACAGTGTATTGTTAGTAAATAACATTTATGTATCCAACTTCAATTTCGTTAAAAAAATTAAGTTATTTTTATGTTTTTTTAATAAATATCAGAATATTTTATTAATTTAAAATAATGATTATTTCACAAATGAAAAACTATTAAGATAATATTTATAATTTTTAATAAATATAAATGATATTTTTATAATTATAGATTATAATATTGCAAATTTGGACTATAAATAATCTTGTATTATAAATTATAAGTGAAGTTCCAATTACTTAGATACCGTTAAAATTTGATAATTTATTCAATAATAATTAACATTAATTACACTTCTAATCAACTAGCATGTGGTCGAGATCCCATAATAATTACATAGATTAGACTTCTAAAATCACCATTTGTATCGATCCCTTAATCTCATCAGAATCAACATTAACTATACTTATGATTTTACAATTTGTTTTTTTAACCATAGTTATCATATATGTCAAAAGCCAATTCAATCCATGATAATGACACGTCTTCATAAATTCGAGCAGATATACTTACATACCTATACTTACATATTAACTAAACTAATTATTAAATTTAATGCTGAATGCGAATTTTGGAATCTGAATTTGCTTTTTAATTAAGGGTCGTTTCAATATTTACGCATTATTATCAAGTGTTATATATTTGCTGCGTGAATATATTTTGTGAATTTGGGTGTAAAGGCGGAGTTTTTGGAAGTAATGTGGTCAAGTTGGATTTAGATGGAGAACTAGTGGCAGAAACACAACGAATTCTACGCGTTCGCTCTTCCACTGCTGCTACAGCCCAAGATTCCCGGTATGCCATTCGTTCTCGCATTAACAAAATATCCCTTGATCCTTCAGATTTCACATTAGTCGAAAAATCTCGTAAGGGAAAAGACATACTTTGTTGAGATATACCGGATTTTGAAGAATATTACGAGATATATCGTATAATGGAGATCTTATCAAATCCGGAAAATATATATTTAGAAATATTTATCATTATATCTACTTTACTTATTCAATGTAAGACTCTCATCTATTTATATGTTATTTTGGTTATCAATAAAAATATCATTCCGTAAATTTCTACATGATATCAGAGCTTCTGGTTCTTTTCTAATTTGTTGTTCTTTTTATAAAAATGATGATCGATAATGAGAGTGAAGATGAAGATGATAATATACCGATCCAGTGGTAATATCATTTCGAATTTTTTTTTATTAAGAATAAGAGAGTCATTTTATTTTTTTTCTCTCATATTCCCACATGTTTCTAAAGATTATTCGCATAGCCGCCAATTATCTTATTCTTGCCAAAAAATTTGTTGTCATTAAACGCTTTCGCGTAGTTGTCTTTCAATCTCGGATGAATCAGAGTTATTCCCGAGACTTCTTTCCACACTGCGATTGTCGTCCTTTTTTTTTGTTATCATCGAACGATTCTTTTGTACGTGGTGCCAAAGTTGCAGTGCAGTCGTTTGTTTGATTTTTTTTAGTTATGTATTTTATTGACATAAGTGTTGGGGTTATCTACGGGTTCCTAGCATGCGATCATATCGATCTAGGGTTTGGTTTACTAGGTTTCATGCAGCGGAAGAAAGATCTAAACCTAGTCAAACGTCACACGCAACCAAACTCGCAAAACCCGAAAGATCGTGTATATCACCGAGGGAATCGTTACTTACCTCGTTCTCGATGAGACTTGAAGTTTATTTCGATCCGGGGCCTGTTCTAAATCACCTAGGACTGAAGTTACAGTCCCTCTACACGTATCCACACCGACGGGAAGGATTCCAAACGATTTGGAACGAATCTGCTAGGATTAATGAAGAAAAGGGTAACTCGAGAGACGAGATCCAATCCCGGGACAATAGAAATCAAAGAGAACAGGTTCTCTAGGGTTCTAGGATGTTTCTCTGAGTTTTAGGTCAGCCTCAATTAAGTTTGGACGAAATCCCAAACTTAAATAAGATTAGAAAACCCTAAAAACGAATATTTGGAAATTTTCCGGATCCCGGTCCGCCGGACCAGGAGCTTGGTCCGGCGGACCAAGATTAGTCCGAGGC